CTGGCACCAACAATCATGCCACGTTCAAAGTCACTCAGATCACCTTTCTTCCCCATACTGATGCTCGGTTTGAACTGCAGGAGATTGTCTTGACCATGTCTACACGCCTAAATGCACTGAGTTGCCGCGATGTGATTGGCTGCTTAGAAATTAAGTGTTAACGAGCAGTTGGACAGGTGTACCTAATAAAGTGGCCGGTGAGTGTAGATCAGTACTTCTATGTTCCCTTTTAATGTCAGCTCGTCTCTCCTTGAAACCAAGTGAGCTTCAGCAGAAGGCCCCTCACACTGAGCCTGGTTCTGGTGGAGGTTTCTTCCTTTTAAGTGTCATGACATGACACATGTTGTGACCAAGTATTTGTTACCTTGTGGGGACAATTTTCCAGGAATATTACTACTTCTTTGTGGGTTCTTACAGGTATCTGTGTGGGCCAATCAACTGATCCCTAGGAAGACCATAGAAAGAAGGCAATCAGAGGAGTTTTATTCATAACATATTTAAAGTCTTTGGTGCTCAGACCTCTGTGGGAAACATTAGCACTGAAATTTACTGTGATTACATGCATGAGCTGCTGAATGACGACAGGGTAGAGACAGTGGAGAGAAAAAAAAATCCTTAAGATGAAATCTGTGGGAGAACCAGGCTCAACATGGCTGTCTTCTTTTGGACCAGCTGGGGACGCCTTGTGAAAGCAGTATGAGTCCCTCTAATTTGAACGAGGGCAGCAGGAGTGTATCATACTATATTAAAATTTTTTATAGATTATTTGCATTTAGTTCAGCTCCCTCTGTGTTAATCACTCTCTCTCCCTAAGTCTAATTTTTTTTTGTTTTCCTCAGCCGTTCTCCATCTCTCTGCTCAGACTCACCTGGTCTCCATGTCACTTCACACTCCTGTATCTAAACTTCTTGCTTGTGGTTTTCTGAATCTCATCCTTTGTCTCCCAGGAGTTTCAATCTCTTAGAAACAGATCCATAGATTTAACATGCCTCTTTCACTGAATCCTGCAGAACCTGGAATCCCCAGGAACCCATGTCAGGATGCTGTTTGTTGACTCCAGCTCTACTTTCAACACCATCACCCCAGCCGTGCTGCATGACGAACTCTGAGCTTACTGGCTGACTCCACCTGCAAGGGGACCACAGACTTCCTGACAGACAGGAAACAAACTGTGAAACTGAGACATCAGCTGTCTGATTCCAGGATGAGCCGTCTCTGTACACCAACAGCTCCAACTCCAGTCACCAGTCTTTCAGGTTCCTGAATTGAAGATGAAGCGACCTAACTGGGTTCATCTCTGCGGAGGTAATTCTGCCTACATGTGGCAGATTGTTCTTCTGGTGACCTGTTGCTGCAGAACAATCTGAAGCTCAACTCTCTGAAACAAACAGCACAGCCACTGTGAACTTCCCTTCAGGAACTGTACACCTCCAGGACCCAGAGGCAAGGATGCAACATCTCAGCTGACCCTCATTAAGAAGGCGCGGGTCCCTGACTGACACTTTTCCCATTGGAAGAGAACAAACACAAACCTTATCATGTTTAAATACTCCTTAATCTAACCCCATACTGTTTTTTTCTTGGCTTGTTTGTCTCTAGCATCTTCTATGGTGCTCTTCATATACATCTTGCTTTCATTTATTCCACATTATATATTCCGGTATTTATTTTTGTCAGCTGTATGTTTAGCTGTTTGTGTCACCTTATGATAAAAAAAAAAATTGTATAGTAATTGTAAAGTACTTCTCATTATTAACATTTTTTTTTCTGTTTCTGAATAATCATCAGAATAATCAATAGAATACTTTATTAGTAAAACAGCTGTTTGCCATCTCAAGTCCCATTATATACTGGGACTCAAGGGGGTACCATATATATTTCACCATAGACGTCTTTGGATT